GTAACTTTGATCTATTGCAAGAAGAATGAAGTAGACAAGAATCACAAAACACAGTGCAGTGGTGAATGGAGCAATTTTTGATTGGTCAGGCAAGTGGTCTGGAGGCATGCTCCCCACATTTGTTTTTTTTTAAAACAGGTGCTATGAGATTGAATTTTGTGCTAATTTTACTACAATTTATTTAAAGTATTAATCATTTGCAAGCACTTCTTTATGATTTACAAAAATAAGTGCTCACTGGCACTTATAGTCACCATAGCTATAAGCAAGCACAAATACGTACACTCGTACATTACACATGTAATTTATTATGCATTGTTATACTAATTCATACATACCACTATAAGTCTATTTATTTACATAGAAACAATTTTTGAAGTGTAAGTTAAAATTTAAAAGCCATACAGTTAGTGTGACTGCTACCAGGTCTGCCTGACCTAACATGTGCGCTGGGCACATGTAGTGTGAAGATTTTCTGAAGCAAGAAGAAAATAATGTAGATTTTGAGTAGAAAAAAAGTTAAATAAATATATAAAACTGTATTTAATCAGAAGTAAAATTAAAATCAATTTGATTATGAAAATAAACTAACTTGAACTGTCTGACAAACTAAAATAAAAGCTATACACTCACAATCAGTAGGTTGGATAATAAGAAAACTTTACGAAGAATAGAATAGGGACGAAACTGGTTCCTTCAGCTTCTGTAACGCGTCTGGTGAAAATAGCAAACTATTATTACATTCACATTCTCTGTGTAGCTAACTAATCAAAAATCTTTAATCAAACTATCATTACACCCCATATTCTCTGTAGCTAACTAATCAAAATCTTTCACCAAACTATTATTACTTCCACATTCTCTCTGTAGCTAACTAATCAAAATCTTTCATCAAACTATTGTTGCGTCATTGAGGTCACGTGACTGGTGTGGCGCCCTCTAGTTTCTAGAACTATCTTGTTCTTTCAGGAATGCTCTAGTTCTGACTAGATATAGGGTAGGCGGGTATATAAAAAAGGGGAATGTAATGTGTGTAGACAGAGTGAGTAATTGATCTGCGGTCAGGAGTATTATTAACGTTCGTTCGTTACAGTGTTGTTTTAGCGCGAGTATTGAGATTAAGTGTATCGCAGAGTTATATTCGGAAAGAATAAACCAGTTTTATTAAGTAAAGACTTGTGTCGCTTAAGTTTCGTCGGAACGAAGTTACGGAAAAATCAATTAACAAACGGAGACGTAACAAATTGGTGTCAGAAGTGGAACGAAAAAAAATGGAAACGAGAGGCGGAAAATCAAACTACAGTTTAGCAGACTTGATGGCAGCAATACAAGAGCAGCGAAAGAAACAAGAAGAGAGACAACAGCAGCTGCAAGAAAACCTGCAACAGTGGCAGCTCGAACAACAAAAGAAACAAGAAGAACGAGAAGAGAAATTACAACAGTTGTTAGAGGAAAAGAAAAGAAACAAGAAGAACGAGAAAAGAAACAAGAAGAGAGACAACAGCAACTGCAAGAAAACCTGCAACAATGGCAGCTCGAACAAC